CCTAAGAAGTATTGCTGGCTTAAAGGATTTATATGAAACGTTCAGGGGTCCACCACTGTAGCGTTTAATCACCTTCATTGCCACATGGTCTTCAGCTCAGGGCTAAAGGCCAGAACCACAGTTTTAAAGAGCTGTGGCTGACTCACTCCACGCATCTCAGCCAACTTATTTACCTTCTGCTCATTTACTGGTAAAAAGGAAAGAATAAAAGTGTGTGGTACTCTACTATTTTCCATCTAATTATTTAGAAAAGCCTCCCCTGTGAATTGATTAAAGTATTATATGGAGGGAAGTTTTCAGATAGGCTCTGGGTAAATCTACAAACTCCTGTAAATCCACCCATTACCTCTAAATGGACTTCCTTTGAAGTAGGTCATTCTGTAAATTATGAGGACCTTAATCCTGTCTTTAGTTTAAACATGTTTTGCAAGAAAATTTCTCCTAGCAACCTGTTGGGGTATTAGTTTGGCCCTGATGCAAACGGAGTTAGCATTGAACTGCGAAGAACAAAATCCCTTGTTTGGTTTCCCAGAATTTGTCCTAAAATTTAAAAGTATTTTCTGTGTTTCTTTTGTTTTAGTAATGGCAAGTGAGTTTATTGGACTGAAGATTCCACATTGTTTTATTATCCTAGACAAAGGCATTGAGCACCCAAACTGTTTGGGGCAGGTCATCAAAAGCAGCTCTCACCCCTGCCTGAATCCCCTTTTATCTTCCATTCCCCACATCATCATCTTGTTGGGTTTTGCTTCAATATGTTCAACTCTTCCTTTCCTCTCCACTCCTGCTTAGACTACTGAGTAGCCTCAGTTGTCATCACCTCAACTGGGTGTCCCTGTGATACCTCCAAGTCTGCCTCCTTGATCTTAATTCCAGATATTCTAGGCAACTCTGCCTCCTGTTTCTTGGCTAATTATCCCCAGGCGTGCTTCCACCATGTCCGTCCCCAGCTAAGAAACATACTGTCCTCCCTATGGATTACCACACACCTTCCAATGTACTCCGCCTGACTTTCGAGGCCCTCCACATTCTAGCCTGTCCCTAACAGCCCAGCGTGCTCTCATTTTCCATTACTCAAGACGTTTTGCTTTTTCCTGTTACCGGGAACAAGCCATGATCATTTCCAGGGCCAGTGGGTATGGGTGTGCAGCTTGTGTATAGCCCCCTGGCATTGGGCATCATGCAGAGCTGGTCATTTCAACTTCCATGATTTTCTTTCTTCCCGCTGCTTGACTGTCTAAATCCTTCTCATCCTTCAACATGTCCCTGAGCCATGATGTCTTCCTTAACTCTGCCAGTTCTCACTGATCTCCTCTTCCTTTGAAGTTCTGCAAGTCTTATAAGCTCTTCCCCCCAAAAAAGTTCTTAATAAGGGCTCCCCTACTACAGAGGGCAAGAACCCCCAATTATTCATCTTTCCATCTCAGAACACAGTAGGGCTTAGTGACTATTGAATAGTTTTCTCTTTTTTCAGATGTGATTGTTTTAACTCTCCCAACTATTTTCTGACCTCCTTGAGGGAATGAAGGCTGTCATCCACATCTGTAGCTCAGATGGTACTGAGCGCAGGATTGATGTTCTATAAATATTGGTTGTCCGATTCCTGGGCATGATCTATAATTAAGCCAGAAAGAAAAAAGAACATCAAATGTTCATATGCTTCTTAGAACAAAATCAGCATTACCTCTAGTTGGATTCCAGAGATATGTGATATGAACCAAAAGGGTGTGATCTTCAAGCAATAAGGCCCATTTCAGGAAGTTGTCCAAATTGTCCAGAGAGAAGAAATGAATTAATCATTTTTGTCACCAACAACAGTAAAGTAGATTCCAAGCAAGGCAGCTTCAATTATTTCGAATACTGAGTAGCTATTCAAGGTTATTAATATTGCAAACTGAAAGGCAGAAACACTAGAAATGCAACATTTCTGCCCTATTGTTAGAGGCTGAAATTTTATGAGGATTACCTGTTGTCATGGCAGAAAATTATTCTAAATACATATCCAACAGTAACTCTGAAGAGTCTTAAATTCTCTAGTAGATGCTCCAGAAAACAGCCACAAAATTCTGTCATCCCATCTGTCTTTTTCTTCTTATGGAGGATCTGTGCTGCCTTAGAGAGACAAATGCAAAATTGAAACAGAAAGCAAAGTAGCCTCCTGTAAATGCCTTCTTTACTGTCTTCTCCTCTAGCATCTTCCCTGTCACATCTGATCTTGTGATGATTGGCACTTCTTCTTTGGGGGTATCTGTAGGATTTGAGCATCAACAGGATTGGCAGATTTCCACTTGTTTTGCCCTTTCCCAGACTGCCCTCAATCCCTCCAAAAACTTCTTTGCCAGCAGATACTGGTCCACCTGACAAACACCAGCGTGGAGTGTTAACTTATGTTCATTTTCAGGCTTATACCTTGTAGTGGTGGTGGTAGGGTGCTGGAGGGTGATCCACTTGTACTAGATAGGGGTCCACGGAATAAGGAGCAACCCTTTAAATGGTAGTGGAATTCATAATGAATGCTGCAAATGTAAATGGGGCAGCTTACATCTGTCTTCATTTCTGGTCTGTACACGCTCACATTTCTGTTAGGCTCAGCCCAGGCGTCATGGGTCTTAGGAGTTTTTGTTATTAGATTACCTACTTGGAAAATACGATGAAGCCTATGTCTCTTTCATCAGAGAAGTACACAGGCATTCTTCATATGATTTCAGGAAGTTCCCAGACCTTCTAAAATCTATGTAGCCCAGATTGAAGAGAGTAATAAAGATACTTTCTAACACACCTGCACTCCTGACTGTGCCTGCATTGTTCTAGGTACTTTACACTTAATATCTCATGTATTCCCCACAATAATCTAATGAGGCAGGTCCTATGATTTTCCTCATTTTGCAAATGATGGAACTGAGACCAAAGACATAGCCCGTTCACCTTTCCACAATGCTTCCAAGTCTTCCCTATGATTTCATGGACTCTTGACTACATTTCTTCTTCTCTTCTAATGTCTACACCCTAAATAGAGATCTAAAAAGCATCTTGTCCGTACAACTTGAGAAAAACTATTAAGACTTTACAAATATTAACGCCTGTTGATCCTCTGAGTCTCCCTTGTAAATAAATATGAAATTCTGTTGTTACTATTGTGAATGGTATCTGAGAACATGTTTCAAATCTACATATTTGAAAAGTGAAACGACATCAGTTTTGATCTGAAATCATAAAACTACAGTTCCGTGTAATGCCCATCATTGCAGAGAACAACTCTGTAAGTGATGGGGAATTCACACAGTATTTGGAAGGAATGGCATTAGTCCTCAGAAAGCTTACAGCCAAAGAGGAGCCAGGGAGAACACATATGCACATAACCCAGTGGGACCACGACCAAAACTGGCTCATCCTGAATCGACTGGAGAACAGAGTCAGATTCTCTCAGCCTTGACAATGCAGGTTTTGACATTTCATCAGGCATAATCAGAAACTTTATGACTAACAGCTTTTCCTAGTTCTAAATCAATAGACCTAAAAGAGCACCTGCAGATAAAAGGTTTAGTGAGCAGCTCTGCTAATAGCAGTTGTGAAGCATTTCTTCCTCAAGCCCTCTTTTCCCTCCTAAGGGACCAGGTCGGAGGGAGAGAATCAGATGAGTGTCACATTTTAATTTCCTAAGAAAGTTCTTCATTGCTGCTCTTATCAACATCACCTCTTTTAAGTAGGTTTATTTAGAAATAAAGATTGATACGTCAAGTGTTTCTCTCTATCCGGGCTTGATACAAAGCTTTAGATTAGAAAAACAAATTGGGGGGATCGCCTAGAACACATTCACAAAGTTTGTGTGCTTGTAAAAATGTGTGCAGAATTTCATGTTACTATCCAATCACCGTGTACTTGCATGTGTGTATGTGTGCGTTTGTGGGGAGATAATTTTGATTAAGTATTCACTATGGAATTTTTTAGGTTAGACCAGTTTTGAACATAGAATAGACAGGATTTATTAATGACAACAACGCATATATAGTTCACTGTTTGCTAGGTGTTTTCATAGGCATTATTTACTTTAGCCTTTATTACCATCCCACAGACTAGGTTTTATTATCCCCTGTTTTACAGATGACGAAACAGGCTCAAAGAGGTGAAGTGCTTGGTGAAGGTCGCAGAGCCAATAAATCAAGAAACGTGGGACGTGACCTAGGTTTTCTGGTTGCACTTTCAGTGTTTGTTTTATTCCCCCATAGCTGTATTCAGAGTAGAAAGGATGAGGAAGTTATGTTTCGGGTGTTGGCAGTAAAGAAGGTGCTTCGGGAATAACCTGTGTAAAGATTTGGGGTTTGCCTAGAGAGGGGATTACGTGGGAAAAGTTGGTGAAGATCGTATCTAGACCATTGTTTGTTCACCAGGTCACGCGGCTTCCTTGGACCTCACCTGGGATTGATCAACAGCAGCTCCAGCCACATAGCTGTGATTTAAGAGGTACCTCATTGGGTTAGAGTCTGCATGTAGACCCTGTCTAATCTTCTCAGCAACCTGGTAGTGTTAGTATTACACAGAACATATCATGGAGGCTCAGAGAAGTCAAGTAATTTAAGGCCATGTAACTAGAAGGTGGAAAAATCTGGGTTTAAACTCAGGCCCATCTGGTTGCAAAGCACGGGTCTCCCCATTCCACCACCCAGGTCCCTCGAGTAGCCACCTTTGTGGAAATCACTAGTTCCGTGTCAGGATGAAAGTGGTATTACTTCAGCAAAGGTAGCTGGGAAGTGGGCAAGGCAGAAAGCTTTTTTAGCCTGTTCACATCTCCGTCCTTTCTTACTATCAGAGATAAATTTTTTTCTAACCATGCCTTATAATAACCGTTCTCAAGTTCCTTGGTCTTGGGACCCCTTTACACTTTTAAATTATTGAGCTTTTGTTTTCTGTGGGTCATGTTTATGGATACTTACTGTATTAAAATTGAAAAGAGCAAAAATTTTTAAATATTTATTAATTCATTTAATAATAAACAGATTATATGTTAATAGAAATATGTTTTATGAAAAATAACTTCCCCCAAACAAAACAAAGTTAGTGAAAAGAATGGCATTGTTTATATTTTTGTTAATTTCCTTGATGTTTGGCTTCGAAGGAGCTGCTGGAGTGCCTTATCTGTTCCTGCATTCCGTTTGTTGCAATATCACATGTCCGTAGCCTCTGGAAAACACCAGTGTATCCTCATGAGAAAATGAGAACAAAAAAGACAAATAATATTTTAGCATTATTAAGAAAATAGTTTCTACCGTATGGAACCCCTGCGAGGGTGTTGAGGATCCCCAGAGGTCCCCAGACCACACTTTGAGAATTGCTGCCTTATGTAACCACTTCAGTATTCACTAGGGCCAGTGAAAAAAGTAAATGTTTGGGTTGGATGGAAACTTACAGGTCACTGAATCCAATCATGCCTCTGATAACACGAAATTCCATGAAGCCTGGTGTAAGCCCCCTATTTTGCAAGGGTAAGGACCATATTAGGTTCAAAATGGACTTTAAGTGGATAGAAAAGCCTTTATTATGTTGAGAAGAAATTTTACTCTGTGGTTTCCATCTTCAGTCTTAACTCTGTATAGAATGAGTCCAGTTTCTCTTCTGTGTATTCAAGGTATATGAAAACAATGACCTTGTTGTCCCTTGAGTGCTGTCATCTTCTTTAAGCTAAAGAGCTTCTTTATATTTAAGAACTTAGGAGACATTCCTGCTCTGAGTGTTCTCTAGCCCCACATCTATATCTTCTCACCAAGATCTTTGAGTACCAATTTGAACTCATACAATGTTGCCAGAATGCTCTAAGGCAGCTTTTCTCACTGCTTACTCTGTACTTAGCTTGCGTCAATGCTACAGATGTTTCAAATTCACAAACAGGAAGAAACATACTGTCAAAGGTCTCTGTCTTCTGGTTGGGTATGACCTTTGATACCCTGTTTGCTTTCCCACTCCCTTCTGCCGTCCTGGTGCAGGCTCTGCTTTCTCCAAGGCATCATTTCATCTCTCCCTTCCCTTTCACCCCTACGGGACGGCAGTGCTCTAGGTGCAGCGCTTTAAGGTTTGCAAACAGCTTTACAAGCGTCACCTCATTTAATTAGCACAGAAACTCTTCACAGAATGCATGGATGCAAGTATTATAAGGAAAACACAGAAGTTTCCATTAACCCGATTTTATAGATTACCATGTTAATACTTCATGCCTGGGATTCTGTAACCTGCTTTGCTGGCTGCCCAGCTTTCAACGTCTCCCTATTTTAAAGCACTCTACATACTGATGCTAAAATCATCTTCCTTCCCTGCTGATCTGAACATGCCACCATCTGGAGTCCATTTATAGCCTCCCATCACCCTTGGGATAATGTATTTTCCTGTGACCTTTGAGACTCTGCATCTGCTAAGACCTCTGGCTTGCTTTCCTCAACCTAGGATGACAGTGTTTGGCTAATCACAGCTTTGTTCATTCATTTGTTCATCCAGCATTCATTCATGCAGGCATTTTTTAACTTAGCATCTACAGTGTGCTAGGCACTGCAATAGACACTAGAGGGGAATACAAAAATGAAACATCTCTGCCCTCCAGGGTTTTATAACCTCATCTAGGTCTTACATGCAAACATTTAATTCAAATACAAGACTAACTGTGATAAGAGAGGCCGTGAAAGTAGATTCACAGTAGTAGGTATACTCTGGGGTTTACCTGAGGAAGGATTAATCCCAATGGGCAGAGCAGAGAAGGCTTCTGGGAGGAGATATTGTTTGATCTGTGAAAGGATGAGTAGATTTCCATAGCAGAGTAGGGAGGATGGGACAAGACTGGCCTGGCTTTCTTGCTGTCTGTTGGTCAAGTTATTTCTCTTATTGCCTTCTTGCTCTGTCTTCTTGGGTATTTTTTTGCACCAGTGTCCTAAATACCCAAGGGCCTGGTAAACTTGCACACCTGACTTAAAAAAAGAAATTTCCAGGATGATAACAGTAAATGGCATATAAAAAGGCATGAATAGAAGGATTTTGTTTCAAGATTATGAGTGTAAGGAATAGAGGACAAACTTATAAGGAGGAGCATCCACCCTTATCAGCCAGTCTCTGGCTGGAGCCACCAATGCTAACAGTGTAAGAAAAAATGTACCATCCCTGAGGGCAATATTTGCATGACGCATAGTGTGTGATGCACTACACAAATAGTAGCACAGTATCACACAGGTTTGTCATGAACCATCTGATGGCTGATAGTTCTATTTATGATGCTTGAACACTAAAATGAGTAAGGCTTAACATTTTTAGATTTGAAACATGTTTCATTATTTTGCTACATTTCTCTTGCCTGCATATTCATTCCATAAGAAAACAAAAATAATGTTAGTATCCAATACACAGTTATACGTGGTATTCTCAGCAGAGGCGGTATGCGCTGTATTGGGTTTCCAGTGCAAACTCTGCCTCTGACCTCCCACTGCTCACCCTTAGTCCTTGGGAAGGTCTGATTCAATCTGTTTTGATCATTACATATTAAAGTGTTGGCAGGCTTGAATAGAGAGGCGAAATTGTATTTAGGTTTTCCATTTCAGAGAGCTGGTAAAGCAATGCAAAACATCTTAAATAGAGGAAAAATTAAAACAAGAGATGTTGGGAAGGGTTGGACACCAGGGAGGACTCACCAAAGTCCTGGTAGCTATGGTGTTAGGAGACTCTCTAGCATGACATACATTGTGTACATTTATCGGGAGATAGGTAGGTACACAGGGAGGGGAAAAACAAGGGAAAAAACCCAGCTAACAGATGCTTTCCTTGGCGTTCTTTTTCTTAAAATTAATTAATTAATTGGCTGTGTTGGGTCTTCGTTGCTGCACATGGGCTTTCTCTAGTTGTGGCGAGCGGGGTCTACTCTTCGTTGCGGTGCACGGGCTTCTCATTGAAGTGGCTTCTCTTGTTTTGGAGCACGGGCTCTAGGTGCACGGGTTTCAGTAGTTGTGGCACACAGGCTCAGTAGTTGTGGCTCATGGGCTCTAGAGCACAGCCTCAGTAGTTGTGGCGCACGGGCGTAGTTGCTCCATGGCATGTGGGATCTTCCCAGACCAGGGCTTGAACCCGTGTCACCTGCATTAGTAGGTGGATTCTTAACCACTGCGCCACCAGGAAAGTCTCTCCTTGGCGTTCTTGATAATCACATGGGATCACAAAAATTAAAGGGGGAAAACCAAGGTGAGTCACTGCTTCAAATTTCATACAAGTAGAAATGGAAAGACACATGCTGTGTGTTCTCCAAGGGCCCAGCGCAGCAAGGGGTTGAGTGTCTCTGCTCCCTTCTGTCCTCTGAGCACTGCAGTCCAGTTCCACCCTTTACTCTCAGATATTTGGACCCCAACATAGTTATCTCTACAGTCTTTTCTCTTGAGCTCCAGCTCACCCTCTGCTCTTGCTGGTCACATTTTCACTGGGGTGCCTTCTAGTTTAGTTGGTTTAACTGCTATGTAAAACGAAAATCCCCAAAACCAGCTCCCCCTACTTCCTGACTTCTCTAAATCCAGAGCCATTTTTTTAATTGAATTTTTTTGAATAGGTAATATTAAAAAAAAATTAAAAATTATGCTTGAAAAACACCTCCCTTCTTTCCTTTCTCATGTAGCCAAGTCTGACCACTTGCAAAAAAACTTCACGTTTCTTCACACACATACAAATATAAGTATAAATCTCCCTTTATTATTATTTTTTTGAATTCATAAGGGAGTATGTTCTTCACACTTTTCTGAGCCATATGTTCTGGTCATCTATTGTTGTGTAACAAATACCTCTAAGCTGAGTGGCTTAAAACAATTTGCTGCTAACTCTCATAGTTCGGTGGGTTGATTGGGCTCAGCTGCGGAGTTCTTGCTTTGGCTTCTCCCCGTGGCTGCAGTCAGATGTTAGCTAGTACAGGGGTCACGTGAAGGCGTGGCTAGACCGGAGGTTCCAAATGGCTTACAAATGGCTGTCAATTGATGCTGGTTGTTGGATGGGAGCTCAGTTGCCAGAGCACATCTATCTAGACTCTCCAGATGGCTTGGGCTTCTCACAGGAAGCTGGGCTCTGAGTGGGAGCATCCTAAGAGCCAGCGTCCCAAGAGAGTAGGAAGTGAAAGCTACCAGGTCAGTTAGGGGCTACTTACAGAACAGGCACTGTTACCTCTGCAGGATTCTACTGGCCAAAGTAGTCATAGGGCCAGCCCAGGTTCAAGGCGATGGAGAAATAAATCCTGTTTTCTTCATGGGGGCGTGTCAAGATTGTACTGCAGAAGATCGTAGGGATAGGAGATGCTGTGTTGGTCATCTTTGTAAAATACAATCTGTATCACCACCTGAAGTACTTTTCTACTCCTCCTAACATGTGTCCAAGCCCTGAGGAGCTTTCTTTTATAATCTCTGACATCTAACCTCTCTCTTTTTCCACTGACCCCACTCATTCAAACCCTCATCCCTTTGTAGCTAGGTGAAAGTCAAAGTTATCTTCCTGGTCTCCCATTGCCCCTCACTGCAAATAGCCAATAAAACTTGTGTTTTCTTACCATATGTATTTCCATAAACTTTAACTTTGATGATGTCATTCTCCTAAGTAAAAATCAGCTCTGATACTCCAGTGGTTTTGTTTGACCTGTGCAATGTTGGCATACATAGGATTTGCTTTTTTGTTTTAACTTCCAACATTGCAAAATCAGGAGAGTTTATGTAAAAATCCAGATTAAGCTCCTTTTGAAAAACTGGGTCCTTATATGTGGTAAAATTCAGTTCTTCAACTCATATGTTCTAGATACTGAACAAAAGGAAAAAGACTTTCAAGCCCTTGTGGGACTTATATTCTTGTTGTGGGGAGGCAGACAACAGAGAAAATCGATAAGTAAAATACATAGAATGTTGGATGGCAACATTGGAGGGCTAGGAAAGAGAGCAGGAAAGGGGCAGATGGGAAGGGCTACAATTTAAAATCACATGGTCATGGATGGCCTCACTGAAATGGAGACATTTCAGTTAAAAAAAGCTTAAGGAGTAGAGGAATGGTAACACTGAATTCTAGAACTATGCTTTCTAATAGAGTAGCCCAAAGCCATAAGTGGCTCTCTCAATTTATATTAATTAAAATTAAATAAAATTTAAAATTCAGTTTTTCAGGCACATTAGTCACATTTCAAGTGCTCAAAAGCCACATATGAGTAGTGGCTACAAAGCAGATACAGAACATTTCCACCATTGCAGAAAGTTCTACTGGACAGCATTTCAGAGGAAGTGTATTCCATGCAGAGGGTACAGCAAGTACAAAGGTCCTGGGGTGGGGTATTGCTTGATTTGAGCTAAATAGTGGCATGGCTCTTCTGCTTACACATTCCTGCTATTCCCTATTGCCTGTGTTATACCATGGCTATATGGTAATTGTCATTTAGCAGCTTACCCCAAGCCCACTTTCCAAAGGTCCTGTTGATATTGAGTTTTAGAACTTTGGTCAATACCATAAAATCTATGGGATAAAGGCCAAACTCCCTGGTCTTGCATTGAGAAGCACTGTGAAGGAGTGTGAAGACCAAGGATCTGGCCTAGGAGTCAGAACACAGTGTTCTATTTTAGAGCAGAGGAGGTTCATGGTGTGATTCAAAGGGTATTATCAGGGGCGATATGGCACAAGCATCCCCTAATCAGAGTGATAACTGACCACAAGTGTCCTGGAGGGCCTCTACTGGACCAGGACTAAAGGTCTAGTGGACCTTTAGTTGGTGTTTCAGGAGGGAGTTTGGAGTATGACATAGGGGCTCAAGGCAATGCCGAACTACCAGTGGAAGCAGAAGTATTTCAACATTATATAAGCTGGTACACTCATATGGTACATACAAATAGGATTTCAGCCTTCAATATATGAGATAGGTATTTGGAAATTGTAATGGATGATAGAGTTTATTGTAGGGCCCTTTCCAGTAAACACACACAGCTTTAGGTGACAGGATTTAAGGCCTTCTCCAGTGTGTCACCAGCATCCATTCTGATATTTTCTCCTTCTTCTCTATCACATGATCCCTCTCTCCCACCAGTATGACACATTCAGTGCCCAATATGTTCTGTGTCCTACCACCTTGGTGTTTTTCTCATGTTTTTCCTTCTTACTCAAAGGACCGGCACCCTTCTTTCTGCCTGGTTGAAGCTTCTGGACTCAGCTTGAAGGCACAGCTCAAGCTCCCTTCACTGACTTTTGCCTGTCCCAGACCAGAAGGATTTCCTCGCTCCTGTGGCCCTCAATGCTCATTATTCACACTCACTGGGCAATTACTAAGAGTACAAGGCAATATCTTTGTTATTTTATATGTGTATCTAGTCCTGGGCCAAGTTTTAAGTTTCTTGAAGGCAGAGGTCACAGGTCATTCTTCTTTTTTCCTTACGTGGCCATATTTCCGTATATATTTGCCAAGCGTCTACCTTGAGAGGGCTGAGGGCACAACCAAGGGCCCCGATCTCCTGTAATTCTCATTTGTCAGTTTTATTTTTTTTAACGTGAATAAGCTTACTCAATTCTTACAAGTCTTAGGCAAAGATAGGGACCCCAGTGTCCTACTGATAAGGAGTAAAAGCGCTGGCTGGCCCTTGTTGAAGACAGATTGATCTGGGAGGTGAAGTTTCACGGCTATCTGGACATTAAGGCCCTGCTGGAATAGTTTCATTCCCAGGGCTCCACTATTCCTACCTCCTGGAATGGTGTAAACAATGATTCACACCACAGTAGGCCTTTACGCTTCACCAAGCACATTCATCATATGCATCAGGCATTTAGGGAGGGTCAAGTTCCAACTTGTTAGCAGAGATTCACCTCCAGGTCACCAGACTTGAACCTATTTTGCTAAACACCTAGCATAACGAACGAACAAAAGTCTTCTCCCCTTAGCCTTTAATGATGAATGTGTCAAAGAGGGGACGGCGGGGGGGCAATTCTACCTCACTGGTGTTTGACTTGTAGCAGAATACAGAGCCTATTTGAAGTTCTCTGGCAAAAACCATTTTTGGGAATAGCGATTACGATTTTGAGCCAGGCTGTGATGGGAACGGGGAAAAAAACCATTGCGCACACGGGGTGGGGTTGGTGTGCTCCAGACTTCCCAGCTCGCTTGGTCGAAGTTCAACGCTGGCAGAGAGGAAAAGGGGGCGAAGCGGGACTTTTCAGACTGAAGGGAGTTGGGGGATGGGCCGGGCAGTTGAGTGGGTTTGGTGCTGGATTCTGGGGATCCCGCACCTGTGGAAGAGACGGTGTCCAAGGTCCGAGGAGCGGCTGCCGGGGTCCAGGTCCACGGGCGTCCAGGTCCTCGGGCTGAGGTGTGCCGCTGGAGAGGGCGGGGCGGGGCGGGGCGCACCTGGGCGGGGAGGGGAGGTGCGTGGGGCTGAGCTTGGCGGGGGCCGCGGCGCGCGCCAATGGGCAGCGGCGGGCTGCGCGCCCCGCGCCCGAGCCGCAGTCGCGCCCTCTCACTGCCTAGCGAAGGCTTGGACGACGCGCGGAGGCGAGCGCGGTGAAGAAGGGCCTTCGGCGCCGCAGCCGCAGCCGCCTTCAGGGCATGAGGATGGCCGTGGGCTCCGTCAAGATGCAGCCGCCGTGCGAGAGTCCGGCCCTGGCCGCGGCGGCGGCGGTGGCGGCGGCGGACGGCGCCTTTCGCCGCAGCCCGAGCGCCCGCGAGCCGGAGCGCGAGCCGCTGCAGTTGCCGCCGCGGCCGCGGCTGCGGGACCTGCCCGCGCTGCTGCGGAGCGGCCTCACTCTGCGGAGGAAGCGCAGCGCCGCCGGGGGCCGGGTGAGTGTCCGGGTCCTGCCGGCCGGGATGGGCGTGGGCGGCGCGCACGTGGAGCCCGCGCCCACCCTCGCGGGCGACCGAGGCGGGCGTCTGGAAGTTGGGGAGGTTCCGGGAGGGGCCCCCTTGTGAGAGACTGGGCAGAAGAGGCACCCGGGACGGTGGGGTCGTGGGGTTCCCCCAGGGGAGCGAAGGTTTGCCCTTCCCCCAGATGCACCTGACTTAACCCAAGCGCACCTGGATTCAGGCTGCGGGACCGTGAGCATCGCCGGAAGAAGGGCTGTTTGCCTGTCCCCAGAGGGGGAGCTGCAGGTGTCCGGTGCCTAACAGTCGGCCAGCCCTTTCCCGACAGCGAGCCTCAGGCCCCACGAGTGGGATCTCCGTTTTCAGGGGGCATGAGACGTGTGCGCTGGTGTTGGGACGCCTCGTTGCAAGCTTTGGGCATCGGCACTGGCTCTGGCCGACGCTACGGACGAGGGGGAGACCCCGGAGTTGGAAGCTCCGGGGCGAGCTTTAGCTCCCGGGTTCCCGAGTTGCCAGCACTTAGTACTCGGCGACTCCCCCAGAATCTTAAATATTGACTTCCTGCTGGTGTGTTCGATAGGATTTCCTGGTGGAGGACGGTGCCTCATTGGGTTCTAAGGGCATCTAATGGCCCGAGCAGGTCAGACGTGTTTTGCGGTTAAGAGAAGCGGGGCGGCCTGGGGTCTTTCATAAGTCACCCAGCAGGCCCTGCCGGGGCCTCTGGCCACGGGGCTGACTTGTCAGGTGTCCGTGCTCACCGGGGCCTTGGGCACATTTTGGTGGGTTTTACTGAGCTTTTAAAAATTTGCCATCCTTAAGGAGACTTGACCGAGAAGCTGCCACAGTGTAGATTTTTTGGACTGTAAGTTAAAAAAGAAGTCTTGGTTGTCTGCCTTAAAAGATCTTACTGGGGGATTTTCAGATCTTGCAAGATAAGTTTGTGGAAACTTGAGAGTTAGGGAGAAGCACTGGGTTTGGTATGGACTCATCTGGTCAGGGAGGGGTCTGAACTGATGGAGGTCTTCGGCCTTTCTAGGCTGTGTTCCTACTTTCCTAAGAATTTTTCTTCCCGTGTAGGGATGACTGTACATGATCTACCTCAGAAGGATGTTTTGAGGATTAGCTGAGTGTAATAGGACATCTTTAAGTCCATGACCAGGGGAGTTTAGGAATTACCCACAAATGACCTTAACGTGTGGCATACAGGATTGCCTGCAAAGAAAGTGAGGAAATGTGTCCCAAAGATGTGGTAACTAAATAAACACAAGAACCAGAGTTATAGACCTTGCAGGCGTCTAGGGAAAAGTAGGTCAAATCATGTTCCTATTATCCTTGACAGTTACTTTTTCATGGCACAGAATACTGAAGATGTGAGGGCAGCCAGGCAATCTGTGAGCAGAATTGCTGAGGGTTTCTTTATAAATAGATCTAGAGTGTTCATCTGCATAGAGGCTTGTGTTTCCCTTGCCTGGGATGATGTTGTGGTGGACCTTGCCTAGATACATATTTACTTAATTATTCTGAATGCAGTTACTTCAAATAGTGTATACTTTATTGGCCCTTCTTTAGTTCTAATACTGTATGACTTCTCTTTGGGACATTCCAAACACATTTCATAAGTGCATGGCCAGTTTTTTTATTGGAGGAAGATTGTCAAATTTTCCAATATTGGAAGCCCATAATTTTCAACTTTTTTCCCCCTCCTTTGGCTCTGGAACGACCTTGGTGTTTTTGGAACCTTCCCATCAAAGGAGTTGGAAAGAGTTTGAAAGAAAGAGAAAAATAAGTGAAATATGTACCCATATTAGTTTGTTCAGGCTGCTATAACAAAATACCATAGGCTGGGTGGCTTAAACAACAGAAACTTATTTTCTCACAGTTTTGGAGGCTGAGAAGTCCAAGATCAAGGTGCCAGCAGATTTGGTTTCTGGTGAGAACTGTCTTCCTGGCCTGTAGACAGCCACCTTCTTGCTGTGTTCTGACATGACCATTCCTTGGTGCACATGGAGGGAGAGAGATCTCTCTCTCTTTCCTTTTTCCTTTTTGTTTTTTAAATTGAAATATAGTTGACATACTATATTATGTTGGTTTCAGGTGTATTACATAGTGATTTGACGTTTGCATACATAACAAAATGATCACCACAAGTCTAGTTACCGTCTGTCTCCATACAAAGTTATTGCAGTATTATCGACCATATTCCTTATGCTGTATATGACATCCCCATGGCTTATTTATTTTATAACTGGAGGTTTGTACCTCTTCATCTTGTTCACCTATTTTGCCGCCCCCTCACCCATGACCACCTGTTTATTCTCTGTATCTTTGAGCCTATTTTCATTTTGTTTGTTTTTTAGATTCCACATTTGAGCTCATACAGTATATGTCTTTCTCTAACCTTCACAGAATACCCTCTAG